CAGCAATAATGTCATCTGTATCTGCTGAATCATAACCATTATCGCATTTCATAGCCTCTTTCTCTCTGTAACTTCCTTTCAGAGCTTTGCTCACGGCATCCTGGTTGCTTAAGGACCAGTGACTTCTGTATTTTAATTCAAAGTTATCCCCAACAATGTCCAAGTGGTCACTTTCAGTCTCAACATCTTCAGCTTTCTGTATTTCTGTCTCTCTCTCTACCATTGTTCCGATTTCCTCTTCAGAATCAATGTCACTATCAGAAACACTCAGATTATTTTGAGCTGTACCTCCAGAAACATTGCTTTTATCTGACAATAAACCTCTCCCTGGTATTTTACTCTTAAGGCTGCTTGATGCAGGCAATTTAGACTTCTCATTGGGTTTAGATTTTGATCTTTGATCTAGCTGTGATGAGCTTGTGGTTTTTAAACGTGACTGGCACCCAGAAGAGAGAACTACTGCTCCATTTAGAGCCTCATTGCCCAGTAGCCTCAGTTTTTTAGGCGGATTCTTAGTTACAGGGAACTCTCCTTGCCGCTTCTTGCTTATGCCATCATCTTTCCCTTCCAAGTGCCAAGTAAGCTCGGCTATAGGAACTACATGTGTCAAGTCTGGCTCCAGCTTCCTAAGGTTATGGCAATATTTTGACGGGTCGTATTTCACAACGTTAGTCCGAGTTAAGGAATTAAACCAACATGATCCTTTCAGCAAGCAGACTTCCAGTCTTCATAAGCAGGCTAAATTCTGCGTGAAAGGACAACAGAGTCCTTTGTAATGTTATGACCATAGGCCTTTAAGCAACTGACTTGCAGTCTACAACAATTATTCAAATCACACAAACTTATGGCAAGATTTACTATGGGGATTCAGTAAATCAAGTCTGACACATTAGTCAATATTAAGACAGTTAAGCAAATGTTTCCCCATGCAACAAAAGAAAGAAGGGAACTGGGCCTATGCCCAACCAATAGGAAAAGGATATTTTTTTTGGTTGACGACTCCTGAGGTGCAGGATAGGCAAGACTCTGCCAAATTTACCAACAACCCATTTCTAAAAGAGACGAAAAATAATCAGTGTTAAACAAAAAATGAATGGAAGTAACCCCGGAATAAAACAAGATGTGTGTTCTTTGATAGCAGAAACACTAATAAAGAACCATCTGAGACTAATTCTTTTTTGTTTACTAAGTGAGAGATATTTGTACTGTGCAACTTAGCCAGCTTCCTTCTCAAAAGGATAATAAACCAAAACCAACGCAACCAACCCCCCAAATTTTTACAACCTGCAAATAGAGACAGACAATAAAGAACTGAATTTCCTTACAAGTACTATTTTTAATATCAGGCTTCTGGTTTATGCATTAACAGTGGTAACTATACAGACAGGATCGCTATTATTTTTGCCTTTTTCCCCTTTCCCACTAAAAAATTAATCCCCCCATCACCCTGCAAAAACACTCTGTGCTTAGCAAATAATTTTGAGAACTTAGTGAATATAATTTTTGTTGCCTAAATTTGCATGTTCAGTGATTGTATTCCAAGTCTTACTTTTGTAAGCATGTGTAGACCCCGCATGTGCTGAAGCACATAGATCCTGACAAGCTAGCCACCAAAAATCTATATGCTGTATAAAAATAAGACACACGTTCTCTTTACATGCTTTTAAGGGTGCCATGAAGATATCCCCAACAGAAGCGAGTAACAAAGCATTTACTAATTTAACATGACAGAGAGGACAGTACGATCAAGACTATTTCCAGTCGTTACACAGAAGGACAAGAGCATTCTACATGTCTACATATAGGGTATTTCTTTAGACTATTTTTCACAAGTTGGATTGTCACACTTAATAAAGGCTTCCTTACATAAAGCTTAGAGATTTGACATCAGTTT